AATAATTCTGCGAATTAAAAAAGTGTGCAATATAGGGATGCCATAAAAAGCAAGGAGACAAGACAGCGATGACCTGGGCATGTGATGCAGTAGTACAATGGGATGATTGTTACTTCTAACTGACATTTCTTGCTCATGTAAATTTTACTCCACACAAGCCCTATATTGTCGCCACTCTTTCTCATGACATGAGTTTTGAATAGTGTAGTGTGAAGACTGGCAAACGAATTCTGTAAAACCGGTTAGTTGAGCGAACATTGAAGTAAACACAGTCACAATAAAAAAACTGAGGACCTGTCAGAGAGGGCATTTGCTACCAGTCTTACGTGCATAGGAAACGAGTCATAGCTGCACATCATACGATAGAGATCACTCGTGCTTTGCGACAATATAGGGCTTGTGTGGAGTAAAATTTACATGAGCAAGAAATGTCAGTTAGAAGATGTACAATCATCCCATTGTACTACTGCATCACATGCCCAGGTCATCTCTGTCTTGTCTCCTTGCTTTTATGGCATCCCTATATTCCACACTTTTTTTAATTCGCAGAATTTTTTTATTTACTTGTCGCCTTTCCTGCACATGCATTGGAGCATAATGTCCATATAAAAAGTAACATGTACTTATTGCTTCGGTCTGTTAGTCATCTACATTTTTATTTCACGCCCAAAGTAGATAGGTGTACAAAGTTATAGGAAAGACAGCACTTAATTGCCTGAGGCTGTTTGTTGTTGTTTACAAACTTGTAACTTCTGTTTCGATGAACTCTCGCCATGGTACATCAGTGTACCAAGTTTCATTGTTAGAGGACCCACATTAAGCAAGTTATAGGCACAAACATCATTTACAAGTATTCATTGCCTGAGGCTGTTTGCTGTTGTTTACTAACTTGTAATTTCTGTTTCGATGAACTCTTATCATGGAACATCAGTGTACCAATTTTCATTGTTAGAGGACCCACCATAAGCAAGTTATAGGCAATAATATAGTTTACAAGTTTATATTGCCTGAGGCTGTTTGTTGTTGTTTACAGACTTGTAATTTCTGTTTCAATCAACTCTCATCATGGTATATACATCAGTGTACCAAGTTTCATTGTTAGAGGACCCACCATAAGCAAGTTATAGGCACAAACACATTTTACAAGTTTTTATTGCCTGAGGCTGTTTGTTGTTTACAAACTTGTAATGTTTAAATTTATGATGGGTTGCATGTGTGTACAAAGTTTTATCACTCTGGGTATTAGCTTTACCCAGTTAGCACACTTTATTTGTGTCTATAACAATGTATTGCCTGGGGCTGTTTGTTGTTGTTTACATGTAAACAAAATTGTTTACGAAGAAATAAAAATGCTCTTGCACGACCTGTGATGGATTCCAAACTTTGTGCAAAGTTTGATCTCCATATCTTACCTGGTTTTTGAGATAGGCTTGTTGAAACTGAAATTTAAGCTATTTCTTGGATACATGCTCTTTGTGACGATACAAAATAGTCTGATGTATCAAAAGCTGGATCTTTTTTTAAAATGATTTCGGATAAATAAAAACCATCAGTAGACGTTACAATAATAAATAAATAAATAACGGAAAATAAAATAAAATAAAATAAAAAGAAATGATGCATACAGACAAAAAACATGTATAGCTAGAAAAACAAAAAAACAAAAAACAAAAGCACAAAACAACAAAAACAAGCAAACAGAAAGAACAAACAAAAAAAAACAAAAAAAATGTATATTATACAAGTCAAATAACACTGTCAATGAAGGAGGAGATAGGAGGGAAACGGTGCAGCCACAGGGCAGCATTCCCTCTCCACAGCGACACGGAGCACCTCTGGAACAGCTGGCGAGAGGTGATAGAGGGGGGGATGCCAAGTCTTTGGCCCAAAAGGCGTCCAATACGGCTGATGGTCTTGGCAGCCACATCACTCCAACCCCCAAGTGACTCAACAGCGAGGGGGATGAAGGAGACCCCCACCGCTCTGCAAGAGGCAGCATGAGTAGCCATCTTCCGCTCCTCACATATTGACAGGGCATACCCTTGATTTTCCGCGGCACCGTGCACTGTCCGTTGTTGGAGAGTAGAGATAACGGAGATGTCAAGTGCTGTAGGGAGACCCCTATCCCAATGTGGGAGGAAAACATCAGCTGGCCGATTGTGGCAACCTGGAATCAGGGAAGGAAACTCTTTCCGTGGCGCTAAAGCAGCAGACTGGGCTGCAGAGAAGATTGCATCACGGATCGAGTCATGGCAGAAAATTCTGTCACCATTCCCGCCACACCCCACATGGTGATCGCCGAACGAGTCAGCAGCTCCATGACAGATGGAACACCTCGAATTTCCACTGTAGATCGGAAGACCGAGCCAGTATTGGAGACACACACGAAACTCGCGGTCGAGGAAATGCAGACCAAGGGCCCGGGAGGGAATGGCATTGAGCCAGTCGCCAGCATGAGGAATTGAGCATGAGAGAGCGAGAGCCCTCGAACGGGAGTCAGGAGCACTGTCGAGCAAAACATCAGAGAGGGCGAGATCGACTAACTTAGACAATGCACGCTGTGTGAGAGGAACATCCATATCTTGGAGAGAGAGCCACTCAGGTCTTCCAGCTGTCTCAGCTAGAGCAGAGGCACAGACCGGGAAAACAGAAGGAGGTGGAGGAGAATGCCCCAGAATGCCACCACTGAGGGATTTACACTGCACCCAAGAGCCAATGTAGGCAGCTGGGGCATGGAGTGAGGCCTGGCGAAGACCGAGACCACCCATGGAAACAGGCAGAGAGGCCTTTAGCCGCGACCACTCAGGAATGGGGCCACCCACAATATCTGACAAAGCTTCCCTCATGATATCATCAAAGGCGATTAGCGCAGGCTTGATGAGCTGGGGGGCGCAAGTGCGAAGAGCGAAAGAGATCTTGGGAAGGGCGAGACATGAACGAAGCAGAGCAGATTGAATCTGGGAATCCTGAAAGGATTTTAGGGTGTTTAGAGTATCTTGAATCTTCTCAACTCTCTTCAGAATCAGAGAAGTACAGTAAGAAGCAGAACCAAAGGGTGATCCCAGGAGACAAAACCCCCCATTGGACACAGGGATATCAGAAGGAAACAAGGAGTAGTCGCATGAGGCCTCTGCAGGGACAAATAGGTGGGATTTACTCCTGTTCAGAAACAAACCACGAGAGGGACCATCAGCCTCGATGATGGCCAAGGCAGAGCAAATGTCCCTAGGGGAACCACAAAGGGTACCGTCGTCCAAATACCAGGAGTTCAGAAGAAGACCTGGGACTTCCCTCTTGATTTTCTCTATAATCGGGTGGAGTGCCACAGCAAAACCCAAAGGACCCAGAGGATCACCCTGTTGGACACCGCAGCAGCTGAGGATAGTATATTCTCCCAAAAAGAGCAAAGGCTGTGAACCATAGCAGCATTCCAACCATGAGGACATGGAAGGAATCCGGGCCCTTGTCTCCTCAAACATGAGCCCACGGTCAATGGAATTGAAGGCATTAGAGAAGTCAACAAGAAGGGTGCAGCGAGACTCTGGTGGGATGGAACCGTCATTCAAAATGGAGGCCAAAGAGTGAACAATGGCTTCACAACCAACAGGGATTCCGACCCCAACCTGAAGTGGGGAAAGAATGGTAACAGCTTCAGATTGTACTGCACGGGCAACACATTTGGAGATTAGACGCCGCAAAAACCTCCCCAACGGCCAATTGGACGAAGCCCCCCATCTTTCTTCTGGCAGGCAAGAAAGAGAAGCACCACACAGAAAAGGTATAATGCAGCTAGGGGCACGCCCCGCAACTAGTAGGTTGACAACACCGACCAGGCCTTTAAGAGCAAACTCAGATTGGATGGGGGAAGGGCAGAAGACAGCCTCCTTTAGATGGTTAGCTCTAAGGCTCGAGGGACCTGGGGCTGTACCGTTGGGGAAAGATTGCAAAGCCCTCACCACGTCCAACTCAGAAACACGTACAGCAGGTGGAACTGGTGTAGAAGGAATAGGAGGAGGAGCTGATTGCGGGTGCTTAGAAAGCATGGCGTCGTACACATCACTAGAAGAGGGGGCGATGCCAGCTGAGGAGAGGGTCTGGATGGGCCTTACGAAATTGGCCATCTTCGACAGCCCGGCGAGCGCGATGGATGTTAGCTGGGACAGGCGAGTTGCTGCGCTTCTGAATAAGATTGTTGAGACGGTTGTTCTCCGCCAGAATGCCGTCCCAAAGCTCCGACAGCTGTCCTGCCTTCCACTTAGCGATACGGGTCTTAACAGCTTTCTGTGTGTCACGCCAGTGAGAGCGACCACCCCTCGAGGGATTAGCAAGGATACATCTTGCTAGCATAAATAGCTTCACCCAGAACCCACATCAGTTGGGTCAGAAACAATTGTCTGACAGATATCTCCGACCACACCAGCCCAGGCATTCCTAGAGGTTTTGGGAACGTGACGAAGAGTAGGGACACGTACATTGAGGACGGACTCGAACGATGGAAGAGGTGGAGAGATCGGGGACCCCTGAACATCAACGGGGGACGCTGAACATCCGGGAACGCCGGAACACAGCCCTGAGTTCGAAGGCGCTGGAACCACCGTAGAAGTAGAAGGTACGGAGGGATGGGGTCGGGCAGGCGCGATAACAGAAGATGCAGACACAGCAGGATGATCGGAAACCACGGTGGAAGTCGAGGTGGACGTAGGGATGCTAGCCGGGGCGGGAGGCAAAATAGAAACGTTAGAGCAGACACCCTGCCGCGAAGGGAGGCAGTCAACGCAGGCAGAACCCCGCTTCACACACTGACAGTTCTTGCATCGCCCTGAGCGGTTACAGCGACAACACACCATCACGCGGGCCGCAAGTCACTACGGTAGATCGTTGAGCTCTTCCACGGTAGTCACTGGACAACGCCATTTGCTGCTAACTCAGCATCAGTGAGCCGCATGCGCCGTTTCCCCAATGCGGTGCGCGCGCATTACTTAGCTCGTGCGTGAACCAGGTCTACGAGACTAAGCCAGGATGCCTGCAGAGGAACTCTTATCCTCCAGTGCCTTCTGTAAGTCAGTATACACATTTTTAACTGGCTAGCTTACGTTTTGCTGATGATTTGTACGAGGAGCAACTTGGCAGTGTGCGCCGTGTTACGCGGGCCTTGCCCAGCGCCTTCATTGTTTGTCCCCCAGGTTATAGCTATCATTGTAGTCTGATTACTGAAGCCTGCCTACGATACCACCCCACCATATGTGCCACAACCTAATCGCATCGTTGTTGGAGACACTACGCATACACCCTGCTTCAGGTACATTAGCTTCTGCTTTCAACAGTTATCTCTACAACACCCATGAACATCAGAGTGACTGAAAATGCAGAAGGCATGAAAAATAGTGGAAACAAGTGGAAAAATCATTTCTTCAAAATGAAGGGGTGATATAGGGATGGCTTGAAGCACCAAAAAGGAAGAAACAAGGGGTCATTACACAGCAAAGATGCACCAAGCTACATGACACCATCCCTATATCTTTGTGTTATATATAGTTCACAAGTAAAGTTTACTATGAGACAAAGATATAGGGATGGTGTCATGTAGCTTGGTGCATCTTTGCTGTGTAATGACCCCTTGTTTCTTCCTTTTTGGTGCTTCAAGCCATCCCTATATCACCCCTTCATTTTGAAGAAATGATTTTTCCACTTGTTTTATACTAAGTACTACCGTACTTAGTGATATCTGATGGTAAGGCAGGCACTACCATTAACTCTTGTGTTTCTGGCTTGGCCCGGTGTTCTATGTGTGGTGAATCGCTGTCTTACCAGTGGCATCTCTTGAATGAAAAATAAAAAAAGTCTCCACAAAAGTGGAAACGCGACCCAATCTGAGTAATACTGTATACACACATGCACCTTCATTCACTTTAACAGCTTCGCACACATGCATGGAGTATGGAGTGAGGTACGGGAAGTAAAATTAATTAATGTACATGGTGGGATGTGTGTGCAAGTGGAACTAAGGACAGTGTTATTTTAATGGGCATAATGTAGCCAGAGAGGCTGTGTTGAAATGTCTTTTCTGTTCTTTATGTATATACACCATGTGCCATGTGTGGGAATGGTGACTGCGTGCCCATCATACTTTCAATTGTCGCAGTAGTAAGATACTATAATTAAGTTAGGGAGTACACTTGGAGCTTTCGCAGTTGAAGCATCTCCGTGTATGTGTATGTGTGTGTAGGTGCATTGGTGTGTTTGTGGGTGGATATGCCTATCAGTTTACTGTTTTTGACAGCTTTTGAATTTTTAAACATAATTGGGGTATGCTGATACTCCGGCTGGATACAAAGGTAGGCTTGAGTAAAGGTCACACACTACACAGAGCAACGTCTCCTACTCTTGCTACTAAGCATTGCTGATGAAGTCCACGACAGAGAACAACCATGCAATTCATCTGGCAATGGACATGGGCAGTTTACAAGACACTATTACGAGTTGTCTGATGGGTGTTATTCGCCAGCTGTCAGGGTGCTCAGACCTTGAAAATGCTAAGAGGGGGCTAAGATTACGCACACTCGCTCACTGTGCACTAGACTTAGGACAGATTTTTTAGTAAATTCCAGAAGCACCTAAGAAACCACACTGATAATGCAGTCAGATCTAGAAGTGTGGTCTTGGTGCTTGTGGACTAGTAAAATGCATCTTGACAATGTGAATAATAATCTTCTACTAGCTAAAACAAATCGTAAAAGTCTACCAACAGAAGTCAATGTTTGTAAACATCAAACTTCTTTCCCTATTCTATGGAAGAGAAGCTCAGTGAATAACAGGGAGCCATTCTATAGTCCTCAGAAGGGGTTCATACAGGAATTGAGACATTGAGGAGAGGACTCGTATGTCCTGTGACCTAAGGTGTTTTGGTGTGTTGGTGACTTTCCTAACCCCCAGATACTTGGCATGTGTCAACAACAAGGATGAGGTGACGGTGGTGGTGATGGGGTTGGAGCAAAAAAAGTAAGCCGTACACAATTCCATAGCAAATTCCATCCTAATTGCTAGTTTCACTGTCATATGCACACAGAGTATACAGAGAGTATAGTAAATGCTATGTCAGGTGGCTACCAAAACAATCTTCCCTAGTGCCTATAGATAAAGCAATCTCTGAATGGCAGTCACCAACATGAGTGGTTTACTGCAGCAGTACTGAATTTGACTTACGCCATTAATTAATATCGATGTAAACTCTCACCAGTACTACTACCATTTTCATTTAATGCACTAAGTAGACTATGGTTAGTAGTAATCCAGTCACTGGGCACTGAGCTACAACTCCAAGACAAAGCCAATCTTCGTCACTTGTCACTGGCAGTGGTCATTGCAACCGTCATGCAGCGTGTCTTTCCGTGGGGAGAACCTATGTTTAGGCTTGTCTGTTTACCTTCTGGGAATGTAAAGTCACAATGATTATGCTCTGGAATCCCTTGTGCCTTGCAAGCCCTTCCAGATACATTCCTTAGTTGTCTACAAACATGTTGGTGTATTGCTGTGTGATTATTGTTTCCTGAATACCTGGAATTGGTGTGTGCACAAAAAGCGATTGTGTCTAATGTTCGGTTTGGTATGTAGAACTTCAAGTAAACCACAATGACTCCTGTGTAATACAATATTATAATTTCCAGGTATATAGTGTGGGACTAAAGAGTGACCTAACTGAGGTGGTAAGGAGCATTCTGACTGCAGAAAGTTACACTCAGTAGGATTGCAATAAGGAACCCAGGTCACAACCATGAAACATTTCTAAGGGTGCCTTTATAGCTATAAACATCAAACTGCTTGGAGGTTAGAGGATGGTTGCTAGCAGTGTATCCCTTTGTGTCTTTTACAAACCTCCTGTTCCACTAGAGCAAGAACTGTTAGTCAATCATCATGTTTGGTGGCTACAAACCAGGGTCGGACACACGTCAAAGGAGGCGGCTCCGCGAGGCCACCGAGGGCGCAGATAAGACAGTACAACCTTCCAGGATCAGGGGCTAGCATTCCACCTACTCGCAGGCGCACGTAGAGACCGCCAATGTCGCGCACGGACACTACTACTATGCACTCCCTAGCAACCGCACTCTGCGAATGAAATCCGCCACAGTCAGCTAATTTCCGCATTATCCGTCCACAGTCACTTCTTTCCGCATTATCCGTCCGCAGTCACCAACGCCGTATAAAAGGGTTGGCATTGCTGCAGCTACATGCATGCGCACTCCTTCGCTACCAACGCTACGTTACTGTCACAACTGTGTCGGAGCATATTGCCACAACTGTGTCGGAGAGTTCTAGGGACTATATAGCTAAGGGGGAATGGCCTGCCGCTGCGGAAGGCCGGCGACTTGCGTCCGCAAGCTGACATTCACGGCTTGGATCAACCAATGTCTTCTCGAGACTGGACTGAAAGTGCAGGATTTGGAAAAAGACCTTGGCGATGGTCTAGTTCTACTGAAGCTGATTGAGACTCTGTCTCCAGGCAGCCGAATGCTGGAAGGTACGTAGAACATGCACCATTGATTCTTAGCACTATTTCTTGCAACGGCGAACGCGCATGCGCAATTTCGCAGACTGCCGAGGAGAATTTGTGGTGCGCGCGAAGTCGGTCCGCACCGTCGGCCCGTATTACTACTGACGTTACCCCGTACTTTTTCCGACGTCAATCAGGGCGTCGATTGTGCTGCCGGCGCCTGCCCTAGTGCCTGCTGTCCGCACTGTTTGCGACGTCGGCCCGCACTGCAAGTGGTGCGCACTGTTTCCGACGCTGTCAGACTGTTCGGCCCTCACCTCGCAGCTCAGAGAATTACGACGTTAGCTTGCAAGAAAAACGTCGTGGGGATTCAATTTGTAGAAGAGTTTCACTATGTTCAAAATACAAAATACTAGGTCATTCATAATACAGAAATAGGTGGTTACGTACACTGTGTATGCATCGATCAGGGTCAAGTCTCTTTTTTAGGTTTTCTAGCCATGTGTGTACACAGAGGGATGTCGCATTCTTTCTTAATCTGTCCTTCAAAACATAACCGAAACTAAAATCAATTTTGCTGAGCTTCTAATGTTTCACCGGATCCAGGTTTCCGTAATACTGCATGTCCATCCCAACCATCACCTTTTTTGCGGATATGTCCGGCTCATACATTTGAAAGGGCCCCCATCACCAAGCAAGTTAGCTACACAGGCTACAGAGTGACATTACATGAGCTACTGGAACCCTTTTCCGCGGCACATGCAGTATTTCAGCTAAGCGCACTAGGACAACGTTCAACGTGTCGTGACGTTTGATCTGCTCACCCCAATCTCCGAGGACCGGAGGACGCCTCCGAACAATGAAGAGCAGGCACGTGTGCCAGAGGCATATAGAGCACTTGCCTCTGACACCAGCGAAATAATAGTGATTCACCCGCTCTTCGATGGCGAAGGTGTATTGGAGCTACGCCTTGCAACCTCCAAATTAAAACAGCAGCAATGTGGGTGTTCAGCAGCAGCTGTAGTCAAGTAGATGAGTATTATATTGGGCAGCCTTTCTGAAGAACAGTCCCCAATGCATCCCATTTTTCGGATGTTTCACTGTAGTTGACACGTGGGCAATTATAATCACGGCAATTATTTTGGTGCATTTTATTAACCCTCGGTGCGCATGCGCCAGGGGGTGACGGTACTTGGTTAGTAAATGTCTGTCTGTCCGCTCTGCTTAATCTCACATCTCGTGCTATGACACGCGCAACTAAAGTTTTGAGGAAAACGAAACAAAAAAGCCGTTTTCTCTAAAACCGCTTACCTAGAAAGTTAGAGTGTGTTTTGGTTACTGCAGCCAGGTCTGCAATTTTGTTTCTTTTTCACAACTGACACGTGCATGCGTTTTGTGATACTATGCGCATGAGGATGGAGTAAAAAGAAAATGGAATCTCCCAGTCAACTACTTTGGCCTAGCAGTACAAAGCCCACTGCCATCGGAGTTGATTCTTGCTACACCACTATTAATGTCTATAGCTACCCTCCTTTTGTTTTTAGCAAATTCCCAAAGTGTGGGTGAAGTAGCTATTTTTTGCTTCTTGAGACGCTGCAGGAACATGGTTCTGCACCGAGGGTTTGCACTTTAGTGCTCTTCATTTAATCCGGGCTGGGGGTAAGTATTATTATCTGAGGGATACTTATAATCATGAGCTAGCTATTGGTCATCTGTTTCTCCATTATTCGCACCTTTTGTTCCTGTGAGTATCGCACTCCGCTGTTGGAATGTTTTAGACCCATCTGATTGCTTTTGCATACCGCCTTTCACTTATTACTGGTGGCTTTTTTCACAGGAGTCAGGTCTGCTGAACTTTGTAGGTACACCTATGCGAAACTGGCAGACAAATAGTGGCAGGATGGATGCACAGATAAAATACCTTACCTGGGGGGATAGAATATTATTCTTGCCAGACAAATATTCTGAGGAATGAAATCTCATAATTACCGCTTCACTGGTAGGTTTTTCAACTGAATATGGGTTAGGTGGTTTGGGCCTCCTTTAGAATGCAGGCATTTTTCTGCTGTAGTCTTAAGCCAAGGGAGCAGCCAAGTCCAGAGGCGGGTTGTTATTGGGTGTTTGCATTGTTATGTGCAGAGACTAAAAGGCATGGAGGAGCACGAAACGTCACACGCGCGCGCAGATTCCTGACGAACTGCTAACTACAACCCTCAATCACCATGTTTTCCGTTGCACTATGTTACCAACTTTTCGTGTTATGTTAACCTTGCGTGTCAAAAAAGGAGAGCTACAGAAACTGTATCATACCCAGCCTTCTTTTGCAGCACTTTGTGCATTGCTGCATAAGTTGTGAGCACAGGGGGGCTGCCATTCAGAATTGCTAAACACTAAATTTCTTGTGGCGTGCTTTCACCCCTCAATCATCTCAAGCCAAGTGTTAACCCCCTTCCAAGCCTGCTGGTAGTATGTCATCTGAGTTGCAGGTTAAATGTAGTAGTAGGATGTTACGTGTTAAACAAACCAAGTACCATTTTCATTGTACAGGCATGCCAAGGTCCAAGGACTAAAGAATATATAGTGTGAAGAACTAATTTTTTTATGCAGGTACTATGCATCTCCCACAACACAAATAAAGAAGATTCAGAATCTCACTGTTGTGCTACGGTTCTTGAAAGAAGTGGAGAAAATACAACTCAAAGGAATAGGTAAGTTTCAGTGTCTCCGTAGCTTTGTACATATACAACAGTGAGTGCAGAACAATGGTTAAGAGCAATCTTTTGTAATGTGTCTTAGCTGCAGGAGATATCCTGGATGGAAACACAGAACAGACTCTCAAGCTGGTGTGGCTACTCATACTCCACTACCACATTGACTGCCGCTCCCAGCAGCACTCCTCGGAACCTGCCCTCCAGAGGAAAAACATGTGTAAGCAGAGCATGCTTGTGTGGGTCAATGCAGTTTTGCCTGGGAGAAACATCACTAACTTCACCACTGACTGGACCAGTGGAGAGAATCTAGTAGCACTGATCAACTTTTGCAAACCTGGGCTGGTTAGTAATCAGGCTAACCCACATGAACGGCTGTCACAAGCCATGCAGGTTGCACAAAAGGATTTGAATGTGCCTCCAGTCCTGAGCCCCGATGACCTCTTTGTAAACCAGCCTGACGAGGTGTCAGTCATGATGTACCTGTCTTACTTCTGCCGCATTGGGTCTCCAGGAGAGAGAGCTCTCCTGCAGTGGGTCCAGCAGGTGATCCCCAGTCAGAACATCACCAACCTCACCACTGACTGGGTGAGTGGGCTCAACCTCGGGGCACTTGTCAATAAGCTCACTCACAACGGCTTCCCACAGTTTAAAACGTTTAGCTCAAGTACTCTTCTTGCCAACACTCAGGAGAGCATGAAAAGGGCAGAAGAGCTTCTCAAAATTCCTCCCAGTGTGTCTGCTGACTCCTTTAGCAATAGTGACCTCAGTTATCTATTCAGGCTGGCTTACTTAGTCCAGTTCTATGCAGTTCATAAAGGAGAGCCTGTTGTCATGAGAGTTGACATCAGTAAACTCAAGGTGAGTCCTATCAACCAAGGGGAAGAAAAAGGCAGCAAAGTAGTATGGATTGATATAGATTGCTCAAATGCTGGAGCAGCAGAAATCAAAGCTGTTGCCAGTACTCAGGCTGGAAAAGAGATTGATGTCTCAGTGAATGAAATACAAGATGGTGAAGAGCACTATCGCACAAAATTTGTAGTAGAGGAGGGCGTGGATGTCTACACAGTCAGAATAATCTATGGTGAGGAAGAGGTGAGTGGATCACCATTCCATGTAAACCTGGCAGAAGCAGATGCTGCTAAGGTTCAACCATTGGGAACAGAGACATCCACTGAATGGAAGGAGAGTAAATCAGTGGTGCTTACCTTTGATACAAAAGAGGCAGGTTATGGTAAGCTGACGGCCAAAGCCTCAGGTGAGTCTGCTGGATCTGTCCCTGTTCAGCTGGTACCAAAGCCCAGGGGAGGATTTGACATAGTTTTCGTTCCCCCCATACCCGACATTTACTTGGTTGATGTTCAATGGGGCAAGTTCATGGCTTTAGCCAAAGGCTACTCCTGTGGGACCATCCCAATCGAGTTTCAGCAAGACTCAAAGAGAGATTTCAAGTTGGCATTTGAGCCACCCACACCAGACGTATACACAGTGGATGTCACGTGGGGTGGGGAGCCTGTTCCTGGTTCCCCGTTCACCATCAACCTTCTCCCACCTGCCACACCAGATAAGGTGGAAACTGGGGACCCAGTGTTTGGAGGTGTGGGGGAGAATGTTGATCTACCAGTTGACCTGACCCATGCCGGACCCGGTGTCCTTACTGCCACATGCACCGGAGAAAAGGTAGAAGAAGTAGAGACAACTGTCCTCACTATCTCCAAGAAGCTTTACCAAGTCACCTTCCTAGCTACGGAAATAGATATCTACCACCTTAGCGTGTTTTTCAATAGGGTGCATATAAAGGGGTCCCCTTTCCACATCGACCTCAGCCAAAAGAGGCCAAACATCATTCCGCAACTCCTTCACCTACCCCAGATTAGAATGTTCACTATGAACCTACTCAGTAGCAGGAAAACAAGGGTGAGTGTTGATCCGATCCCGGAGGAGTTGAAGTGCTACGTTGGCCAGGCCCTTCTTCTCCGGATTACTGTCACTTCAGACAGTGGAATTCTTGCTAAAGCTGTGAAAACACTGGTGTCTCTCTTTAAAGACACGGATGTAGTAAAAGCAAAAGCTCTCGGTGAAAATACTGGCCCTGCCACTATCAAAGTAGAGCATTCTAGCAGTGAAACCTATGAGGTGATTTTCGCACCAACAAAGAGTGACCGCTATACCCTTTCAATTCAGTACGATAACCAAGAAGTTCTCATGCAACCGTTCAGGGCCATATTCGATGAACCGCTGAATAATCCTAAAAAGGTTGTTGTTAGTGGAGTGGACGGACACGATTTCTATGTGAATCAGGAGTTTCGGTTTGAAATCAAGACACATGGAGCAGGTATAGGTCCCCTGAAGGTGAAAGTACAGGTTCCAGAAGTGAAAGGAACCCGCCAAATCAGAGCAAATGAAGAGGGCAAAAACTGCTACGTTGTTCGTTACCTTCCGTCAATTGTAGGAAAATACGTGCTTTACCTATTTTGGGGCAATGTTGCCACCCCCGGCTCTCCAGTTACAATCAATGTGAAAGATTTACCAGTTATTTCGCAAGGTCAGCCAGCATCCTATGAAATCCCTGTGGGCAAATGGAAGTTGAGCGACATAGAGAGCATTGGTACCCACCTTGAAACAGGGGGGAAATATGAAGTGAAGAGAGCAAAGAAAGGAAGCAAGTACATCTTTACTTTAACACCAGGTGAGCCCGGAACCTATGAAATAGTGCTTCGTGTGGAGGACAAACAAATATGCCGACCGTTTTACTTCAAATTTGAAAGGCAGTCCTATCCAGAGAACGTTGGGCTGGTTGACTCAGTCACTGAAGCGAGGATAAACGAAACTCTCCGGCTCAGGTTTGACGTGTCCAATGCTGGCAAAGGTCGTTTGGCTTTTTACCCGAAGCGACAAGCAAAGAAGGTAAGCTTCAAGGGTGGAATATACATAATAAAATTCTCTGCTTCCTCGCCGGGTGAGTACCCTCTCAAAATAACCTGGAATGGAGAGGAGGTTCCGTGCAGCCCAATTATCATCCGGATCACAATGGGAAATGCTGTTCCAGGCATTGACATAGAGCCTGGACTAGACAGTCCTCAACCTGGCCCAATACATGCTGAAGATACACAAGGTGGTCCTCAAAACGTACCAGATGGTGATGAAGAAACAGATGAATATGAATCCGATGAGGACAAGAAAGATACTGAAGATGATGATGCAGCAATAGATGTTATCGAAGGTGTGAACAATATCCCCCCAGGTGAAAGTGTTAGAAGGGCAATTCGCTGGCTAATCCACCTCACTGCACATGAAAGAAAATTTGAAGTCACAGCAGTCGGTGACAAAACAGGTCCCACAGAAATTCTTCTCACTCAAGTAGAAGATAGAGTTTATCAAGCGACTTTCAGGCCAACCAAGTCGGACAGGTACACAATCTCTTTTGTTCTAAATGGCGAACATATTGCCAGCAGTCCGCGAATAATCACGTACGAAGTTCCAGATACGAATGTGAAGGAAATTAAAATCGAAGGATGGAGCAAGACGACTTCTTTGATTCCTATTGGCGGCACCAAACATTTTGTCGTCAACACTCAGGATGCAGGAATTGGAGAGCTTAAAGTGAACGCAAAAACACCAAAGGCAAAGACAGAGACACACACCATTGAAATATACGAACACGATGACAATCCTGACATTTACACTGTCTCATACACCCCATTGATTGTAGGAGTTCACTCATTGGAGTTGCTGTTTGCCCAGATGCCAATCCCAGGCACCCCACTGACACTGACAGTCTGTGACCCTCAGGCAGTAGGCTTTACTCATGCAACACAGACAATAGTGAAGATTGGCCAGTCAATCATGATGAAAGCTGACACCACAAAGGCAGGCAGTGATGAGCTCACTGCCACTTGCGAGGGGACAAGCTGTGGTGAAGTACCTGTTTTGGTCTCAAAATCCAAAACTAAAGGAAAGTTTGGAATTTCCTTCAAGCCTCTGGTTGATGACCTTTATACACTAGTGGTGAAGTTAGGAGGGTACGACATCAAAGGTTCTCCATTCAAGTTCAATCTCAACACAATTCCAGTAGACAAGGTCTTTGTGTCTGGCCCACAAATCCCAAATCAACCAGGAGGGCCATTTACACTCAATATTGATACTTCACGTCTACCAAGAGGCAAAGTGAAGTCCTACTGCCAGTTCAAGGAGCAAACAGTCACTGTTCAAGTAAAAGAAGTCTCTCCAAATGTGTTTTCACTATCTTTTGAGCCTGAAGAGCCGGCCTTGTACCTGTGGTCTGTCCTGTTTCATGGGCAGCATGTCCCTGGCTCACCATTCAAAATCGACACTAGGCCTCATGCAAACAAAGCAGTGGTAGTAGCTCCAGAGATGGGCAGTGTACGCATCGGCCAGTATGTGTACTATGAGGTAGACATGAGTGGAGCAGGCATGGGAGTACTCACTGCCACATGCAGAGGGGAAGTCAGTAAGAAAATTCCAGTACAAATCACAATGATTCGTCATGGTGTGTATAGGATATCCTTCATGCCCCTCTCCTTTGACAAATACACTCTGTATATCCAGTGGAGTGGAATAGAACTTCCAAACTCTCCGTTTGTTTTTGACCTAAAGCCACCAAAACCACACACCATCGGAAAAGACCCAACTGAGATTCCTTTCATTCTCCCAAGAATTGAAGACATGAGTGCAGTCAAAGTCACATGTACAGGCCAGAAGTATGGTGTAATTGCTGTCAATCTTGTTCCAGTTTCAGCAAACAATTATCGCATCAGCTTCAAGCCACAAGGACCGGATCTCTACACAATCAGTGTGTTTTACAATGGTGCACACGTCAATGGCTCTCCAGTTAATATAGACCTCCGTGTCCCCGAAGAAGCTATAAAACGCATTGAATATGTGGATCATGTAGTTCCTCCAGGGGAACAAGGATCACAAAAACAAGAGGAATACAATATGGTGATAGGAGCAGCATTTATTGTGGCTATAAAGTCACAGAGTGGTGTAATAAAAGCAACTGCCATTGGAAAGAATGTAGGAGAGAGCCGTATCCACGTAGATCAATATTCCAAAAGAGTAACCTTCAATCCAAAATCAGCAGACACCTACACCATCAACATCAGTGTCAATGAAGATGAGGTTCCTCAGAGTCCATTCACAGTCCACTACTCTGATCCACCTTCTGACCCCTCGAGAGTCAACATCATTGGTCT